CTGGCTCCGAGGGGTCACCCCAGGTACGGGGCTGCTTCTCAACAGCCTTCCCTGCACGGACAGGCCTTTTCTTTCCTATGATCAAATCCAGCCTTCATCATCCCTCCGGGAGGAATGGCTCCGGCGTTGGGTTTCCTCCGTGACATCCTTGTACCCCGATGCGTAGGCTGGTTTTGCTCACCGAGGAGCCGTGAAATCTCCCCTCTTTGCCGGTCGGACTAGGAGGAGCAGCTCCAGGTCGAAGCTGGAGCTGGTGGGGAGGCAACTGCCTTCGCAACTGAAACTTGCTGCTCTTGAGCTTGCGCTTCCCCCTTTGTGCCCAAGAAGTGAGGCTGCTGCTGCTCCGCACCGCAGCACCTCGGCAGCCTGAGTGCCGCCACGGCGTCCGCAGCCAGAGGACTCCTCTCTGCCTTTCTGTTCAGTGCGTGGTATTCTCTGATCCTTGGGATTCAGGATACTGCTCCAAGGAAACTCCCCAGAAGAGCAGGTCAGGTTGGTGACTCGGGATTTCAGATCTCAGATTCTCATAAGCAGGTTCTTGTATCAGCTCAACCTTTAATTTCCTATTCCTGCATCTTCAGTGCACTGCATTTTTGTCAGGGTAGGTGACCTGTCACACAGGACGTTGCGCTCTCTTGATTTGCTTTGTGTTTTTCCCCAGGTTTGTCAGCAAAGTCACCAATGGAACCAGGAAGCAGCAGCACTGAGAAGTTTTATAGGATCCCCAAAGGAAAGGGACCACACTCGGTTGGATGTACAGACCTGATGACAGAAAATGCAGTTGAGGTAAAGCTTGCGGTTCTTCCTTCTTAGGATTTAAGCCACAGTGTTAGTGAAATGACTTGCTGTAGTTTTACAGATGAATCAAACAGAAGGCCTTGTCTGTGTGCAGGAATGACTGAGCTTTCTGTCCTCCTCCCCAGTGTAGCATGTGTACTGGGCCTTTACCAGATGGATGTAAACTGCAAGCTTCCCCCATGGTTACTCCCTCCCTCCTCCTAGCATCCTCACCTTCCTGGCTCCCCTAGGCAAGATAATGCAGACCAGCTTGTGTCCTCCTGGGACCCATGGGATTCTTCCCGTCCACTCCACTGCTCCCTTCTGTCCTGGGCTCCTCCAGAGACTCCACACACAGGCTCTGAGACTGTAGCTGTTATCACAAAAATCCCAACAGGATTTGGCAGGGCTGGGTGATGAGGGTAGGCAGGGTTTCAGGTGGAGGGGAAAGCATGAGGTGTGTTCTTGGGGTTTTGTCTATCTGTAAAAGAACAGGATGTCAATTCTGCAAGTGGTTAGTGCAGAGAGAAGCCATGGTAAGGAGATGGGGACAGTAAATAGTCAGCTAATAAGCTTGTTTATGGGTTTCCATTCCAAATCCTCTTGCTTTTTAATTTTCCCATGAGAATATGCCTGCATCTACACTGTGGTTTTATTCCTCAGGCTAGCCAGGTACAGTGAAACTTGTGATCAGTCTGTAGTGTTTATTCATATGTTTTTCTTTACTAAGCTTACTCCATACCAATATAAAATAAGCAATTAGTTTCTCTTTGCAATCAGCCTGTGTGTTTTTCTGAGGTAAGCAATCTGTATAATTACAGTTCTCTCAGGTATAGGTAATGAACCTTTTCCCCTTTCTGGTAAGCAGTTAGTCACCTGGGGAAGTCCACTGGAATCATTCTGGGATCAAATTAATATCACTGCCAGTATGGATGAAGATAATTTCTTCTGTAATGGCTTTTGTGTCAAAGATTGATTTAAGTTTGATGAGTAAATAGAATCAAGCTTCATTAAACAAGCTTTTGGTACATGTCATGTATGAAACTGATAAATTAGTGTTCAAGAAACTAGAGTTTGTTCAAGGCTTGTGTTCGTTTTGTCCCTAGACTTAACTTGTTAGAACAAAAGTGCAGTTTCAGCAAGACAGTAAATGTGAATAGTGTCACAAGTTTCCTTGCAAAGCGGGAAGTAAGAATACAAGTTACACACAGTTTGTCTGCCGTGAGGCCTGCTTTGAGCTGTGCCATGGCACATTGCTGCTGTCTGCAAATCCTGGCCAAGGGGCTGTGGGAGGTCCGTGTGAATGTGGAAAGCTTGGGTGGTTTCCGGGAAGACCTGGAGTGCAGACAGTAAAAGAAGATCCAAACTGGTGGCAGGAAACAGAGGCAGATAAAACAGAGGTTAACAAAGTTGTGTTTGGAAAGATGGACCGCCACAGACTTGTCAACATCTGGATGAGGAGGAAGAACCATATATTGCATTCCTTTGCTGTGCAGCTGCCCAAGAGCTTTACCAACAACCTTTTGCTCAGCTTAGCCAGCAATACTATAGCCACATTGAGATCATGCCTGTGAGTCTACCCACATCTCCTCTGCTGGACCACACTTCCAGAAGCTAGTCTCAGGGTAAAATTTGTCTTGCTAACCTAGAGGAAAAATATACTTCTAGGAGGGTTCTTTTTTTTCCCCTCCAGTTTAGCAAGCTGAATTGGGTCAATAATAGCTGGAAAGGTGAAGAGAATACAGTCACCCCTGTTAAACTGATCAAACTGCAGCATCATACCATTCCCTGAAGGGAAGGCATAGTGAGGAATGCAGAAGAAAAGATCCAGCAGTATGCAGAAATGGAGCAAATAGGTAGTGCCATGCTACTTTATTGCAGGGACAAGAAGATAGTGACATAGGATTGGCATCAAAGCCTATATAGGATAGCCGTTTTCTCATGTGTGTCTTTGAATTCCCTTGAGCTGTCATTCTTGCATCTGAAGCCCTTGGCAAAAATGCTTCTACTTTTTCTTCCCAGGGAAGCTTCTTGCGCCTATATTATCCATCATGCAATGCCACAGATAATGAGGAGGCACCATGGATTCCAGATAAAGAATACTATCAGGGACTTTCTGACTTCCTTAACATGTATCGAGTTGTAGGAGAAAGGCTATTCCAGTACTATGTTGGTAAGACTGGTTCTGGTTTTATTCCTTGACGAGTGCAAGGGCACGAGCATTGTACACAGGTTGTCACCTCAGTGCTCCATGAGCCCTGTGTTACTGCTGAAGCTTTTCTCGAAGAAGTGTGTTTTTTTGGGATGGGTTTATGTAGTGAGGCTCAATGCTGAATGTGACCCAGTTCTCAGGCAGACCTGCAGTGTCTGACTGCTCTGAATAGGAGCGGCTGGGCAGTTTGCTCTAGGAAGAGCTTGGGTAAGCTGCAGCTATGTGTTGGGATTTAAATCCCACAGGGAAATGTGTAGATATACAAAGATCAGATAGATCCTAAGGTCTGAATACCAACTAGACTGGATGAGTGCCTATTCATATAAATCTGTTTTCATAGGGTTTAAGAGATATGTAGGGTTTGTGCTAGGCTGTGGATGGGAGGAGGAGAAGGAAAGTATCTTTTCCCAAGTAGAAAGTATTTTCAGAATCACATCTGTCTCCTGTATTGTAAGGATGAGATTTGGTACCTTTTCTTTAGATGAGCACCACAAAATCAGCAGTCACCAGATTCTCTCTTTTCAGTAATAATGACGTATGCTTCGATTTTTGCCTAGGTTCAGTGACCTGTCCTGCAAAGTCCAATGCTGCTTTTAAGCTGGGAGAAAAATACCCACTCCTCATTTTTTCCCATGGACTTGGAGCTTTTCGGTAATTCCACAGTTTGCTGACAAATTATTTTTGTTGTCTATGTAGACAGCAGCCTCCAAGGATGGTTCTGAACAGATTTTCAGTAGGGGGGTGAGATCCCTGTGGTGTTGAAAGAGATTTGAACAGGCTGCTGTGTATCAGTACCACTGAAATCAACAGCAGTAAATAAAAGCAGGGTTGGTGTATTTGTTTGTGTTTTCCCTGTGTATTTTAGGGGTGAAGGTATTTCCTAATCCATGAGCATGTTGTGAAGATTAGCTAGTTGATTTTTGGAGAGCTCTTTGAAGATGTAAAGTGTGATATGTGATACTTACTTAAAATCATTTGCATTTTTCCTGCTGTATAGATAGCAAAACAGTAACAGGGTTTTGCGAACAGGCTTTGGTGCCTGGCATACAAAAGCCTGCTGTGCTGGCTGGCAAATTCAAACAGAAGAAATACCGAATGGGGGCTAGCACATACATAGTGTGGTCAACGTTTAAAGAGCAGTCTAACTGAAATAATGACCTATGCACGTGTCTCACCAGGGTGTGATTTTGATTGCAGGACCATCTATTCTGCTATTTGCATAGAGATGGCTTCTCAGGGCTTTGTAGTGGCTGCTGTGGAGCACAGGTGTGTATACTGCACGTTCTTGAGTTCTGATGGAAAGAAACTTTCTCACATTAAAAAAGTTCTGAAGAAGAACTTATGGTGTTATTTTAAAGAAAAGCTAACTTATCTTCTTCAGCCCTGTCTGCCCTCCTCACACCCTACTCCCCTTCATCCTCTCTGTTTCTCAGCTCAACTCTTAGCAAAGGGGAGGTTTAGATTGGATATTAGGAAAAGTTTCTTCACCAAAAGGGTTGTCAAGCATTGGAACAGGCTGCCCAGGACAGTGGTGGAATCACTGTCCTGAGAAGTGTTCAAAACAACATGTAGATGAGACCCTTAGTGACAGGCTTAGTGGTGGTCTTGGCAGTCCTGGGGTAAAGCTTGGATGTGGTGATCTTAAAGGTCTTTTCCAACCTAGTTGGTTCTAAAGGGGATTTGATAAGACCTTGAGTGAGAAGTCCTGGGGTAGATATCATTCATCATTCTTCAGGCATGCTATTCTTCTCTCTCTTACTGTTAGAACCTGGATAATATAAAGAAAGTGGGAGTTTTGGTGGGGTTATTGCATTATTTAGAAAGTCTGTCTACACTCAGTTGCGATTGCAGCTGCACTGGTTGGTAGCTGAATCTCTTGAGATAAGTGAAATCCAAAACTTAGCTGCTAACTTCATCTCAAGCCAAACAAGAGATAACCAGAAATAACCTTATGTTGGTATTACAGAGATGAATCTGCTTCAGCAACATATTATTGTAAAAAAAAGTCAATCTCTGAACCACGGGAAGAGTCTACATCAAGCCTGGAGAAGGAGTGGATCTACTACAGGAAACTAAAAACTGGAGAGGAAGAGC